TACTAATGACGTCAGATTCTGGGTGAATCGTTGATCTCTACTGATTGGTTAGGGAAAAATCAAATCCCCTCCCCCTTGTAAATCGCCTTCAATGGAAGCCATGTCAGACTGAAGGTTCTGGGAGTTTCAGTCTGACACTCAGACTACCTATGGTTTGCACTGGTCTGGTTTGAGTCTGTCTCAATACACTCTGGTCTTGGTTATGACTTGGTCTCAGTTTCAGTGGTCTTGACTACAACACTGTGATGGTTAACAAATGATTTGCATAAGCAGGTTGGCTTTCACACCACAAACACCTTTACAGCCAGTCTCGATTTGGTTGTTCGGTCCAGTTTGAATGACAGCTTTCACACAAGCCCAAATGGAGCATACTAACAAATTAGGTGTTGAGGCACCCCTAATCGCTAGTAGTCTATTTTAAATTGGTATCTTTAGAAACCTCAGCATGTTGACTACAACTTGGACTTGATCAATGCTTGGCCCCACAACAACCATACAATAATGGACCCATCAAGCAGTCACTGTGGTTCAGGAGCTACATGTGAGCAGTATTCTTGGAAAAAGCTCTGTCATTTGTCCTCTTCATCCAGTTTTGTCCAAAGACAAACAGCTTATCAATTAAGAGAATGAACAGGTAGATGAAACTAATCAGTCTTTTCCCTGTCCCCTCACAACCTGTGATGGTTCAAGGCTTTTCAATTAGTTGTGTTCTTTCACTCCATGATGTGACCACCTGAGGCTACTCTTTACCTGACAATATGGGCTGTTTAATGATTTTTGTCTGTGTGTGACCTGTGTGTAATTGAGTGCAAATGCACAATGCTGTAAATGCGTCTTTGAGTATGGGCAGCAACACTGTGCTGGTGAGGTCACAAGAGGCCGGTTTGATAAACATAAACCTCCGTTAATTGCTTTCTTGGGGCTCGTCACTCAATAACTGACCTGATGTAAGCCACCAGGAAGTGAAGGACAGGTGCGCTTCCCTCACTCTCTCCTTGCTGCCATGACAACGCCAGCTCTGTGTCAGATACAGCCATGACAACAGGCTGAGTGGGGGGCGATGGGGGCATGCACATGTCTAATGGCACAGAAAGAAAATGAATTCAGTGGGAGATATTAACAAAACTACCGTAGAGAAAAAATAGCATTAGCTTTAAAATGGATTCCTACTGCTCACATATTCTTACCATGTGGAGCTGTGCTGATGTCTCGGGGCATGCTGGGTCTACCCTCCCCTGCCCAACCATACGCTCCAACAGTGACTCTGTAATTCGTGTTCATCTTAAGGTTACCAATGTCCACTTCCTAAAGGATGGCATATGGGTGAGTGGGGGCAGAGATACAGATGAATATAGTGAAATAAGCAAGAGCATATCAGCAAGGATGGTTAGAGGAAGAAAATGAAATGAAGGCCATGAGAAAAAACGAAGAGAAGATGGTAGAAGAAGAGAAGGAGAAGACTAAATTACTGATTATGGATTATTTTAGATTTCTGAGTGGAGAGTAAGTCAAATCCAGCCATAAATGTCAAGTGTGGTAAGAAAGCAGTGATGCGGTCTAATTCAGTAAGTAATGGTAAATGATACTCACAAAGCTTGCTTGTCCATCAAATTGCCCCTTTTGAGAAAATAAGAGCAAAAATATCCATAAATATTTGCGTGTGTCACAGCATTGCCATAACTTAAATTGCAGCTCTGAAACATAATAGCAGTCTACATACTGTTTGTAATTCATTCATTCATTCATGCATTTTCCATAACCACTTATCCTGTTTAGGGGTCATTAACTCCTACAGGCACCAATTAACCGAAGCTGCGTGTCTTTGAGTTGTGGGAGGAAGCCAGAGCACCCAGAGAAAACCCACGCTGACACAGGGAGAACATGCAGACTCCGCACAGAAGGGCTCCCCCACCTCTGGGTTCGAACTAGGAACCCTCTTGCTGTGAGGTGACAATGCTATCCACTGTACCACCGTGCCCGTTTGTAATGTGGTTTTACATTTTTATAAAAAGTCATAAAGGATTTTCTAAAATTTTCCATGATTTGATAAAGGTGGCTTTAATAGTCTTTGGCGCCAATTATTTAAGGTTAAGACTCCAGTTATTCAATATGTTTGTTACTGTCAACAAATCCCATGAAAAAAATGAAAGGCAACAGTCCATTTGTTTAAAACAGAAATTGAAAAAAATAAATAAAAGACTAGATATTGTCCCAAAACAGCTGAGCACTGTAGTTTTTAACGTATGTTCCTAAAACAGAAGTAATTAGTGCATTTGTACAGGACTAATTTCTGCTGCGGATTAATACACATTTGGTGCTCTAGTATTAATGCAGCAGAACAGTGCATGTGGGATCAATTCAAATAAACTGCATTGCCCATGTTCACCATAGTGAAGCAACACATCACCCAATGAAATTGTATGACTCATCAATGTGCTTTTATGGTTTTTGGAGAACAATGGAGTACATGAATAAAATGTATCAGGCTTTGAATACACAGACAATACGTGTTAATAGGATCTTAGCAGGTTGGGATTTGTTGACAAAAAAAAGTAGAATATTGCAAGCTTTATCTTCTAAATATTTTGTTGGCCAAGTAGGGCAAATGCACTACAACAGCCCCAAACATTTCCATTAGGGAGAAACATGCTGCAACTACAGGTATGACGCCAATTCAAAAGCACGTGCTAAATCCCAAACAAATACAACAATGCTAATGTGCTGTGAAAAAAAAACCCCTGCCGCATAAAGCCAAAACAAACAGCAACAAAAACACTGATGCAAAGTCACAAACACACAAACCACAAAAACAAAGGCAACAGAAAACTGCTGCATATCCAGTCAACACAACAGAAGTTCTCCAGGCCTCTAGGGGGAGTGCTAAGTGGAACAGCTTGATTTTCAACCAAAGACAGAGCCAGGGGCGGAAATCCTGGGGGGGACAGGGGAGACATGACTCCCCCTTCAATAAAGCTGCCCCCCCCCTAGAATAATTTGAGACACAATTAATAATTTTTGAACAGTGCAGTAGTATTTATTAAAAGCACAATGTAAGTGGTGCTCATTATAATCGCGCAATAATGTGCTATTTAAATCTTAAAAGATTTAGTCCCCCCCTCCCATTCCTAGTAGTGGTATATCCCACACTCTTTCCAACGGGCGGGGCTAGCAGCCATTAGTACTTGGCAGCAGTAGCAGCGTGTGGCTGGAACCGTTGCCCACATCGCGCATCGCCGGGTAAGATGTACACTCACACAGATACAGTTTAACTTACACGAGTTACAACACATCCCATTTACTGTTACAACAAGCCCCAGGCCCAGGCTGATAATATAAACTGTCTGCAACATTTCTCCTGCATTGTTCAAAAGCCAGAGTTTAGTGATAGTCAGAGAGGACAGGAGAGAAAGAAGAGGGAGAGGACAGGACAAGAGCAGTCAGTGACGGAGTGGCTCGTTGCTAATGGGTACCTGTCTGTAGGCTCTCCACCTGTCAGTGAGACAAACATGAAAGACGTGCAGTTTAACTGACGAGGAGCGGCCATTACGCACGACTATTACGCAAGGTTTTGAGGTGCGCAGCGGCAGATCTCACAGCACACTGTTTATAAACCAGTTCACCAGTTTAATTGCAGGAAATGTTTATCTCACTGCCAGTAAAAAAACGAGAAAAAACAAACAAAACGGTTTACTCCTGCAGCCAGGCAGAGACGACGGATCCATTCCACACACCTGAGCCAGATGAAAAAGAGGGAGAGAAGGAGAGAGATTGAGTTTCTGTCTTTGATGAATGAAGCCTTATTGTTTTGCTGCTATTAAACAATGAGAGACATGTTTTCTCCGTTTACTTAACAGCATAAATATTCACACTACTTCGCACGGGGAGACAGAGACCTGCTCTGTTCCAGACACACTCAGCACCTTGGACAGCACGGCGCACCTGACTGTTGTTGATGTGTACATGTTAATTTGATTTCAATCATTTTGTTTTAAATCTGGACATGTGCAGGTGGACTCAGCCAGTGCTAAGAAAGGTCCTATGCCTGCCTGTTGGAGAGATAGAGAAAAGATTAAAGCGTCAAATTGCAGTAAAAGATAATGTATAAAAGACAGGCTACAACTTTTTTTCCTTGTCCCCCCCTGGAATTATTCTCTAAAATTTTACTGTTTATTGTCCCCCCCCAACTATGAAATGGG